CTGGCCATAAATATGACCTAAAGGCTGAACGCGGTTTCTGGGACTTCTTCACGGTGGTCCTTATCCATATGGTGATACATTGTGTCATCGGGTGTTTATCGCTTGTGTGATGTCCTGGTGGGGTAGAAAGTCAGTCAGTCAATTATTTGGCCTTCTTCTATCTGGTGGTCGCTCCGACTTGCTACGGTCAAACGCCCTGTTGTCGTTGTCGACTGCACTTGGTCGCAATGCACAGGTGTGTCAGATCGCACTGGCTGAGCGACGCTAGACTGGCTCGGGTCACGGTACGTTCAGCTGGTTAGATGGTTTTAAAATTGATTTTCATTTGTTTTCTTGCTAAAAGATAGTTGGATGGTAGGTCGCTATATATTTGAGATTCTGATCGAGCACCTTGTTGTCGTTAATGTCGTTATTTGTTGACCACGCTGATGTGATGTTGAGTAAAATAAACTGCTTAATCATAATTCATTTGCTTGACTTAATTTAGGATCTGTAGGCCGTGGTTGTCTAGGTGTGTGTCCCCATGTAGTTAGATCGACGTCATGTAACGTTATTATGCAGATATCCATAGTTAGGGTCTCGGTGAAATATCTGGGATCTCTGCGGAGAAGAACCCCTGTCTTTTCTTCACTTTTCTGTTTTTGTTGTTTTACTATGACTTTTGTTCTAATCACAATTTTCTCCTTTTTTTACCTTCCCTTCTGTTTTTCCTCCTTCTTTCTTCCGGCTATCACATTAGCCTCCATGTTATTGTTTCACTAAGACATTTCGTTTTTGCTGCAGAATATTTTTACGGGAACCGTTTCCGACGAACCCTGACCTGATCTATCTGGTGCTCTTCATTCACACCCAGCTGACCACCACGGTGACCCTCGCCTTTCTGTTCGGCTCTAAGGTAAGACTTCTCATTGAATGACCACCACGGTGACCCTCGCCTTTCTGTTCGGCTCTAAGGTAAGACTTCTCATTGAATGACCACCACGGTGACCCTCGCCTTTCTGTTCGGCTCTAAGGTAAGACTTCTCATTGACTGACCACCACGGTGACCCTGACCTTTCTGTTCGGCTCTAAGGTAAGCCTTCTCATTGACTGACCACCACGGTGACCCTCGCCTTTCTGTTCGGCTCTTAGGTAAGACTTCTCATTGAATGACCACCACGGTGACCCTGACCTTTCTGTTCGGCTCTAAGGTAAGACTTCTCAAACAGGACAGCTGCCTTCTCATTGACTGGACTCCAATCCTACCCTGTAGTGATTGCCAGAGAGATTTCAGAAATTCTAGAAAATGCTGGTAAGGGAAAGAGGACTAGAACTGGTCAGCGCATCTCGTTGTACTGTGGACTAGAATATATCTCGGTAAGATGCTGAGTAGTCTGGAGGTATGGTGTCCGCTTCGAGTGCTGGAGGTTCCTGGTTCAAGCCCCGGTGTATTCTTGCGTACGTAAAAAAATCCCTTGGCATTTGGACATGGAAAACAGTAGCCGAACGGCGCTGCCCGGACAAAATTTGGAGTTTAAAATCTACCCAAAGTATTTCAGGATCCTCGCCGGTTCAACGGAGTTCGTGCATTGCGCTGAGATTCTTTAGACTCAGGCTTGAGTTAGAAGTAGAACGGAGCACTTATGGGTTATACCCGTGGGCTATGATATTGTTCCAATGAAGAAACATAAACATAATCATGAAAGCAAGTGCACTAATCCATTTTCGTACAAATTCAGTCCGATAATTTGAAGAGTTTTGTTTTCAAAGAAACTATCTGGGAAGAAACGGTGATTGGGGGGGGGGGGGGGGGGGGGGGGGGGGGGGGGGGGGGGGGGAATTAGTTGCCCACATGATGTATGTTTAAGCTGTGTTGACTCTGTGAAAGATTGTGACAAAATATCCCTACAACAAAAACTTCTCCTTGATCACATTTACACTATAATAAACTTTTCAGAAGTAAGTTTCTAACTGCAGTTGTTGTTTCAAAACAATATGAATAATAAATAACTGTGGAGAAAAAACCAACTATTTATGACTGGAAAATATGATCAAAGAAGGAAGATGGAGTTGGTTTGGTCATTTGTGCAGAGAGCCTCGCTACACTTTGGCAAGAACAGCTCTTCGATGGATGGTAGACAGCGTAGGGAAAAGAAATGTGTGTGCATACGGAAATACAGAGAAGGACGACAGAAATGAAAATGAACAAAGACGGATTAACGTGGGATACCATCGGCAGAAAGGGAACATGAAGTAAGGCAGAATGACTTGGGATACCATAGGCAGACAAGCTGTAGACTGTCAGCAATGGAGATCCTCTTGTGAATATGTGACGTGTCAACAACGATATGAAGAGGAGATAGGCAAACATGAAATCAGTCAAGAAATGGAGTGAAAATGATGAGGAGGACATTGGGAGAGTTGCGTGCGACAGCAAAAGATTGGATGGCTTGGCGTAAGTTGGTTGGGGTTCTATGCTCCAATGGAAGATCAAGGGCAGAAAAAGAAGAAAACATGTACACACATACAGCCCCTCACTTCGACTCACCTACTCTCACACAAACACACACCCAAACAAACACACACGCACACACACACACACTAACACACCAAACCCGTCAATCACAAACACCCATTCACTCACTCACCTACCCCATTACTGACCCATTCAATCAACCATTTACCCACCCACTCATTACCCACTCACTCACCCACCCACTCACACACCCACTCAATCACACACACACACCCACTCAATCACACACCCACTCACTCCTCAACTTACCCATCCACCCATCACCCACTCACACACCCACTCATTCACACATACACACCCATTCACTTACCCACCCACTCATCACCCACTCATCCACACCCACTCACCCACCCATTAACAAACACCCATTTACTCACCCACTCACCACAAACCGACTCATCCACAAACCCACTCACCCACTCACACATGTACGTCGCCAGTGGTATCTGGTGTACAAGTACCACGGCAAGAGCCAGGAGCAGACAACTAGCGTCAGCAGGAACTCCAAGTACACCATGGGGACCCGGCCCCCAAGCATGACCTCAGCGGCCTTCGGGAGACACGGCTACAGCACGGGCGAGGAAGAGGAGTATGAGAGCTTCCTGGAGAAGGACATCCAGGTATTTGTCATCATCCTCGTCTTCACTGTCATTATCACTTCCATCATCATCATCATTATTATCACCATAATCATCATCTACTGCAGATGACAGCACGGGTTGACTGTAGTGGCGCTTGTAGTCGTGTCTTGTTTGTAGTCGTGTCTTGTTGGTAGTCGTGTCTTGTTTGTAGTCGTGTCTTGTTGGTAGTCGTGTCTTGTTGGTAGTCGTGTCTTGTTTGTAGTCGTGTCTTGTTTGTAGTCGTGTCTTGTTGGTAGTCGTGTCTTGTCCCCAAGTTAGTTATTTCTAATACACGTGTTGTTTAACGCCAAGATACCGTGATGCCATAATGCCAGGATGCCAAAATGTCATGATGCCAAAAAGTCATGTTGTCAAGACGTCATGACGCCAAAATGTCATGGTGTCAAGACGTCATGACGCCAAAATGTCATGCTGTCGAGATGTCGTGACGCCATAATATCATGTTGGTGAGATGTCATGACGCCAAAATGCCATGGTGTCAAGACGTCATGACGCCAAAATGTCATGCTGTCGAGATGTCGTGACGCCATAATATCATGTTGGTGAGATGTCATGACGCCAAAATTTCATGGTGTCAAGATGTCATAATACCAAAATGCCATGGTGTCAAGATGTCATGATGCCAAAAAACCAGACAGCCTAACATGTTTTCTTTTAGTTGTCATGTGTCTCTCTTCTCTTTCCACTATCCCGTTGTCAGATTTCTCCTCTCTCCATCTCTCCATCTCTCCATCTCACGAGTTGCCCCAAGAATAGAGATATGTCTCAGACTGATGTGGGTAGCCTATGCCCCCAGAGTTTTGATTTAGTCGAGACATTTGAAGTTCACAAGTTCTTATCTATCCACGATGTTCTCATTGCTGGGCTGTAAAACCATATCTCATGTTTACACACAGAGAGAGGGAGAGAGGAAAGAGAGATAAAGAGAGGGGGAGAGGGAAGAGAGAGAGTCAGAGAGGGAGAGTCACAGACAGTACAAGCCACATAGAGGGAGAGTTGCAGAGAGGGAGAGTCAAAGACAGTAAGAGCCACATAGAGGGAGAGTTGCAGAGAGGGAGAGTCAGAGACAGTAAGAGCCACATAGAGGGAGAGTTGCAGAGAGGGAGAGTCACAGACAGTAAAAGCCACATAGAGGGAGAGTTGCAGAGAGGGAGAGTCACAGACAGTAAAAGCCACATAGAGGGAGAGTTGCAGAGAGGGAGAGTTACAGACACTAAAAGCCACATAGAGGGAGAGTTGCAGAGAGGCAGAGTCACAGACATTGAGAGTCACAGAGAGGGGCAGTCACATATAGGGGAGTCACAGAGAGGGATTATCACAGTCAGAGAGGGATAATCACAGTCAGAGAGGGAGAATCACAGTCAGAGAGGGAGAATCATAATCAGAGAGGGAGAGTCACAGAGAGTAAGAGTCACATAGAGGGAGAGTTGCAGAGAGGGAAAGTCACATAGAGGGATAGTTGCAGAGAGGGAAAGTCACATAGAGGGAGAGTTGCAGAGAGGGAAAGTCACATAGAGGGATAGTTGCAGAGAGGGAAAGTCACATAGAGGGATAGTTGCAGAGAGGGAGAGTCACATAGAGGGAGAGTCACAGAGTCAGAGATGGAGAGAGGCAGAAAGAGAAGCATAGTCAGAGAGGGAGGGTCACAAAGAGTCAGAGTGAATCAGAAAGAGAGAGAGAGAGAGAGAGAGAGAGAGAGAGAGAGAGAGAGAGAGAGAGAGAGAGAGAGAGAGAGAAAGTAACAAGGAGTGAGAGAGATTAGGAGATTAAGAAATAGAGACAGACAAAGGGAGAGACATACATACATACATATGTACAGACAGACAGGCCGGCAGACAGACAGACAAAGACAAATAAAAACAGCTGTTTCAACTATTCTTATTATACAAGACAAGACTAGTGAAGCTTCTCTGTTCTGTCCTGCCTGTCTTCACACAGGAAGAGTTCCGGCGTCTATACACACAACTGGAGCTGCTGAGACAGCGGAATATGAAAATAGGCAACAGGCATTTACAGGTGAGTTGTTGGAATAGCATTCACAGGTGAGTTGTTGGAATAGCATTTACAGATGAGTTGTTGGAATAGCATTTACAGATGAGTTGTTGGAATAGCATTTACAGGTGAGTTGTTGGAATAGCATTTACAGGAGAGTTGTTGAAATAGCATTTACAGGTGAGTTTTTGGATTAGCTTTTACAGTTAGTTGTTGGAAAAGCCTTCACAGATTGGATTACCTTTTTACAGTTAGTTGTTGGAATAGCATTTACAGTGAGTTGTTCAAAAAGCATTTACAGGTTAGTATTTACGGGTGAATTGTTGGAATAAAGTACTTACACGTGAGTTGTTGGAATAGCATTTACCAATGAGTAACTGGATTATTAGTATTTGTAGATAAATTGTTGAAATAGCATACAGAAGTGAGTTGTTGTATTAAAAGTATTGCAGATGGATTGTTGGAATAATAGTATCTACAAGCGACTTGCTGAAATAGCGTTTACACTGAGTTATTGGAATAGCATTCAGAGGTGAGTTGTTAAAATAGCATTTACAGGTGAGTTGTTGGAATAATAGTATTTACATGTGAGTTGTTAGAATAGTAATTCCAGATGATTTGCTGTACTGAATTTACAGGTAAGTTGAAGGACTAGAGTTGATGGGTGAGTTGTTGGAATAACTGCATTCCCATGTGCATTATTGGAATATTATTTACAAATGAGTTACTGGAATAGCATTTACAGATAAGTTGTTTAAATAGTCAGATGAGATAAACGTGACTTGTTGGAGTAGCAATCGGTTTGTCTTTGTCTTTACCGTGGAGAGAATCCCTTCATGGGGTCACGAACCGCTTCATAGGGAATTCAACCAATTTGTAAGGAAGGGAATCATTTCATGACCAGTTGAATGTTTCCATGGCGAGTTAAATCTTTTCATGGCGAGTTGAATCTTCACATGGCGAGTTGAATGTTTTCATGGCGAGTTAAATCTTTTCATGGCGAGTTGAATCATTTCATGGCGAGTTGAATCATTTCATGGCGAGTTAAATCTTTTCATGGCGCGTTGAATCTTCTCATGGCGAGTTGAATCTTCTCATGGCGAGTTGAATCTTCTCATGGCGAGTTGAATCTTCTCATGGCGAGTTGAATCTTCTCATGGCAAGCCGAATCATTTGAAAGTCACATTTACTGACGATGATTCTTCATCGCAAATGTAATATTAATCAGAATCATGACAACATAAACTAATACACACTCACATTATCACACACACACATACGCTCATAGTCCTACAGGCGCACACATCACACACACACACACACACACACACACACACACACACACACACACACACACATACGCTCATAGTCCTACAGGCGCACACATCACACACACACACACACACACACACACACACACATACGCTCATAGTCCTACAGGCGCACACATCATCACACACACACACACACACACACACACACACACACACACACACACATACGCTCATAGTCCTACAGGCGCACACATCAACACACACACACACACACACAAACACTCAGAGACTAATACCCTGTTACTCACACTCACTCACATACCCATACACTATCAAACGCACTCACTCACACACCTACACCCTATCATACACGCTTACTCTCACACCTACACCCTATCATGTACACTCACTCTCACACCCATACATTATCATACACACTCACTCACACACATACACCCTATCATACACGCTTACGTTCACACCTACACCCTATCATGCACACTCACTCACGCATCTACACCTTATGACACACACTCACTCACGCGCCCACACCTTGTTATACACACTCACTCAAGCACCCACACCTTATCATACACACTCCCGCACACTCCAACACCCCATAATACACAGTGTAGTATCAGTAATTATGAGCTTTCACACGCTACAGTTTCCAAATATCATGGACAGATATAAAACCGAACGAAATATAGATAAGCGAGCTTCACAATACAACAAACACAAACGAAATATAGATAAGCGAGCTTCATGATACAACAAACACAAACGAAATATAGATAAGCGAGCTTCACAATACAACAAACACAAACGAAATATAGATAAGCGAGCATCACAATACAACAAACACAAACGAAATATAGATAAGCGAGCTTCACAATACAACAAACACAAACGAAATATAGATAAGCGAGCTTCACAATACAACAAACACAAACGAAAAGTGAACTTTATTGCTACAGAGCCTTCATCGGCACATACAGAAACGAAACCTCACGAATACACAAATATCACTCAACTGACGTATCCCGAAGCAGCCACGTTGATGTCTTGCCAGTGGAATGAAGAGCTATGTGAGGGCCAAAGTGAATAGCACGAGAATGCCAAAGGCCATGACTTGAAGATTTTCAGATGAAACTGTGTTAACAGTTCAGTACCCTGGGTGTTTGGGTCCCCAACGTAAACATGAAACGATTCTCAAGACACTTGTAGACTCTGTCGCTGGAATGGCCAGATTTAATGTTTGTCCCCTCCATGTCGCGGACACCTCTCTTTATGGGTGACTAGATTTTATGTCTGTCCCCTCCATGTTGTGGACACCTTTATTCATAAGTGGCTAGATTTTATGTCTGTCCCCTCCATGTTGTGGACACCTTTATTCATAAGTGGCTAGATTTTATGTCTGTCCCCTCCATGTTGTGGACACCTTTATTCATAAGTGGTTAGATTTTATGTCTGTCCCCTCCATGTTGTGGACACCTTTATTCATAAGTGGCTAGATTTTATGTCTGTCCCCTCCATGTCGTGGACACCTCTCTTTATGGGTGGCCAGATTTAATGTCTGTCCCCTCCATGTCGTGGACACCTCTCTTTATGGGTGGCCAGATTTAATGTCTGTCCCCTCCATATCGTGGATACCTTCCTTAATGAGTGGCGTAAACATGTTAATACAATTACCAGTCTTTATGTGACCGGAGAGACGTCAAACAAGTAGCGTTTTTGTGATAAATAGTAAACAGTTATAGTAAACAGTAACATTAAACAGTAACAGTGAGCAGTAATAGTAAACAGTTATAGTAAACAGTTATAGTAAACAGTAATAGTAAACAGTAACGGTGAGCAGTAATAGTAAACAGTTATAGTAAACAGTAATAGTAAACAGTAACAGTAAACAGTAACAGTGAGCAGTAATAGTAAACAGTTATAGTAAACAGTAATAGTAAACAGTAATAGTAAACAGTTATAGTAAACAGTAATAGTAAACAGTAATAGTAAACAGTTATAGTAAACAGTTACAGTTAATAGTAATAGTGAACAGTAATAGTGAACAGTAATAGTAAACAGTAATAGTAAACAGTAATAGTAAACAGTTATAGTAAACAGTAATAGTAAACAGTAATAGTAAACAGTTACAGTTAATAGTAATAATGAACAGTAATAGTAAACAGTTATAGTAAACAGTAATAGTAAACAGTAACAGTAAACAGTAATAGTAAACAGTAATAGTAAACAGTAATAGTAAACAGTTACAGTTAATAGTAATAGTGAACAGTAATAGTAAACAGTTATAGTAAACAGTAATAGTAAACAGTAATAGTAAACAGTAATAGTAAACAGTAATAGTAAACAGTTACAGTTAATAGTAATAGTGAACAATAATAGTAAACAGTAATAGTAAACAGTAATAGTAAACAGTAATAGTAAACAGTAATAGTAAACAGAAATAGTAAACAGTAATAGTAAACAGTTACAGTTAATAGTAATAGTGAACAATAATAGTAAACAGTAATAGTAAACAGTAATAGTAAACAGTAATAGTAAACAGTTATAGTGAACAGTAATAGTAAACAGTAATAGTAAACAGTAATAGTAAACAGTAATAGTAAACAGTAATAGTAAACAGTTATAGTAAACAGTGATAGTAAAAAGAAATAGTAAACAGCATTATTAAAGAGTAATAGTAAACAGTAATAGTAAACAGTTACAGTTAATAGTAATAGTGAACAATAATAGTAAACAGTAATAGTAAAAAGTAATAGTAAAAAGTAATAGTAAACAGGAATAGTAAATAGTAATAGTAAACAGTAATAGTAAAAAGTAATAATAAACAGTAATAGTAAACAGTAATAGTAAAAAGTAATAGTAAACAGGAATAGTAAATAGTAATAGTAAAAAGTAATAGTAAACAGGAATAGTAAATAGTAATAGTAAACAGTAATAGTAAAAAGTAATAATAAACAGTAATAGTAAACAGTAATAGTAAAAAGTAATAATAAACAGTAATAGTAAACATTTATTGTAAACACTAACAGTAAGAAGTAATAGTAAACAATATTAGTAAATAGTAATAGTAAACAGTAATAGTAAACAATATTAGTAAATAGTAATAGTGAACAGTAATAGTGAACAGTAATAGTGAACAATAATAGTAAATAGTAATAGTAAACAGTAATAGTGAACAGTAATAGTGAACAGTAATAGTGAACAGTAATAGTAAACAGTAATAGTAAACAATAATAGTAAACAGTAATAGTAAACAGTAATAGTAAAAAGTAATAGTAAACCGGAAAATAATGCACTTTCATGTTTACAATGGGTTAGACCCGTTACCTGCACGCCTCGCCCCTGCAACCACCAGGATGAAAAATATGACTACCTTCCTGTGTTTGTTTTCGTGTTCACAGGTCAAGTTAACCGCTATGACAGAGGCGGCGCAGAAGGAGGAGACTTTCCAAGGGACCGCCAGAGAGGAGGCGCCCTTTCTGTACCCCACAGCAAACATGAATGGCGCCAAGAGAATCATCATCAACCTTGACGACTATCACCTGACTACAAACGTGTAGAGAGAGAATTGTGGGACACCGCTGTTCGTGTACGTCTGCGAAATTCCAGGAAAACGAGCAATCAATGGGGAGAACCCAGGAAATTCCAGGGAAACGTGTAATTTATGGGGAGAAGCCAGGAAATTCCAGGGAAACGTGCATTTATCGGGAAAGCCTAGGAAATTCCAGAGAAAGTGGTTTTTATGGAGGAACCACAGAAACTCCGGACGGAAGTTGACTTCCTGGGGGAACCTGGGAATTGAAGATAAGGCAGGCACCAGGAGATAACTGAGTCTTTATTAACTGGAGAGATTTAGGTGGACAAGTGAGCAAATGGTTTGCCTAGCTCTGTGACGGTTGTGGGTTCTATGTCTGACTTTGAGATCGTTTATGCGTGGGGTTTGGAGATCCCGAGAAGTCGTCCCTGGAACCACGCAGTTTCGTATTGTGAGTGAGCGAGCAATTGATTCGCCGTTTTGTGACCAGATCTCGGGCAGATGACTTCTTACCCCCGAATGTCGTGATTGTGAAAGTGTGTTCACAAACCACGAGCCACAGTTAAAACAGTTAAACCAAGATATTTCAGTAAATTTGTGTTTGGATGCGAGTGTAATTTTCCGCAAGTTAGGATACAGGAACGGACGAGTCCGGAGTGTTGTCTGTAACAACTAGCCTGCGACTGTGGGAGTTAACTACCCCTTGCAACGTCTGCTGAGGGAGACCGGGCCACATCGAGGGTTGCAAGTTCATCTCGGAAGCTCTGATATTGGTTCCTGATTAAACATCACCTGAGAATGTAGAATGGCATCACATGGATGTACAATGGAACAACGATAGTATAGATGCGGCGTCCTCGATAAATTCGATCTCCATGAAGATTTTCTTTCAATGGTTGTTCCGTTTTCAACATTTGCAATCATGTACCTATTGAGACATGGCTATTTTGAGTTGTAACAGCTCTGCCAAGACTGTTCGACACTCGGCCTGCAGTCAATGATTTCTACATGTTGAAGAATCTTCAGAGCCTACCAAGCTACAGCGTACAACACGGAAACAGCAGGCTACAAGACAAGATGTCATGACATGACCACGAGCTAGGCAACTAGCAACAGACGGGAAACTGCAAATGTCTACACTCTGCGACGCTTAATGACATGACCAGTTACAGAGGAAGAAGAAGGGGGCAGAACAGAAGAATCGTTAACGAATGAACTACAAAAGTTTTTTTTCTTGTCAGAGAAACCATGGGCTGTCCAGGGATCAGAGTAACAGCGATATGCTGAACAAAATATACACTTAAATCAAACTGCCCTTTACTGGGGTACAAACCTCAGACATGTGGAACTATCGTCTAGAGACATATCTGCCGACCACTACAAACGATCAACGATCAGTGAGAGGACCAGATCCTTGTCAGATGCCTGGGCCAAGCGTTTGCTACACGGAGCTAGCAAGTAGCGCATCCTGAGTCGTTTGGTAAAGAGACAGCAATTCTTCCTCATGCGGCCAGATTTCCTAACATAGAATAAACGAAAAGCTATTAAATGACTGGGAGAAATGGAGACAAGACGTATACAGACAATCAGTGGATTTTATTCGCCAGTGTGCCTACACCTTCTACATTCTTGTTGTCTTATGTGTACATTTGTGACCATTTTCTCTTGTACTTTTTCACTTGTACAATTATCACTCAGTATACTTCAACAGTATAGCTGCCGGTTGGCGTAGATGAGGGAGAGTCAGCTCAGTTTACGACATGACCAGAATGTTAAAAATGAGGATCATCACGGACCCGAAGTTCCAGCCCGTGCAGAGAAAGATCAATAATGCAATACAACTTGAGTTGATCAGCGGGCCACTTTATAGATCTCAGGGAGCCACATTTAGCCCGCGGACCGCCAGTTAATAGCCCTAGTTTTGTCTTAGACGAGGTTTGAACATCACCACAATCGGGGTTCCCTATACTTGCTCCGTTCCTGTACCAGTGCAAATCAATCGAAATGTCTCTCCCTGTCGCGTTTGAAAAACTGGTAAACAAACAACTAGCCCCGGAACAATCCAGAAATATGCACAAGCAGCAAATGGACATATCAGTTGCTACCAGAAATGCAGTTTGACGTTGATGGAAGTAGTCGGGCACAACAAGTTGGCCATACACACGTAGAATTATTACATAAGGTATCGCACCAGCCGACACGTTAACCGGCTGCCAAGCATATTTAACACCACAACACAACGTCCGCACAAATGAAAGACATTGAAAAAACACAGCTCACAGGGCTGCACCAAGCACTAAACTCAGAAGTTCAGGCAGCGAAAGCGTTGACTGCCGTCCACACGTGGAAACTGCACTAAACAACACCGAACGGTAACATTGGGCCATGTCTCCGCCCTGGCTCAGATGCCACAATGTCACGATCTGGCCCACCAGGATGTAGGTCTATAAAAGTTATTGACTGCGTGGGTCTGAGCAAACTATGTTTAGCTCACAACCATGGGATCATCGCGTAGTGGAGCCGAAACCTAACCATTTCAGACAAGGTCGACAATAACTCGGTGTCCATGCAGCGTATGTTCAACATCCCCGGGCAACTTTACCCTGAAACCTACAGATACCAAAGTGACTGCTCTGTCAACGTTTATTATACTTACAGAATATCTGGTTGTAGCACACGGAGAATCTCCAGCTGGCTAAAGAGACGAGGTTCGGGGCGGGCAGCCGGGATACGTGGTGGGGGCGGGGGGGGGGGGGGGGGGGGGGGGGGGGGGGGGGGGGGGTTGGGGGGGGGGGGGGGAGGTGGGCTCAAAGATACTGAGGCGAATATTTATGTTTCCGGCCAGAGACAGCTGACTAAATTCCGTCCCTGATAATGGAACAATTTCACGGAATAGAAGGGAATAGATAGTCAAAGTATGTGACACACAATGTCACACCCGGACGATGACCATATTCGTAACGTCATCATGGTGATGATGATAAGGATGATGATGATGATAAGGTTGACATGTCTTGTTATGAAACGAATATTTCTGGGTTACCCGATCATGTTGTTGGTTATAACTAACACATTCTGACAAATTTAGTCAAGTCAAAGACATTTTCCACTACTTCAGTCGTGTTGGGCATATAGGGCTAGACCTATATTTTATAGACCAACCGGCACTTGGTGGTTGATGAGGTCAGCGTCATGCCGGCCGCCTTTACTTTCCACTGACAGATTTTTATAGTTTTTGAGATCGCTTGTTGCACTGCTAGTTTTCAAACCTCTTGTAATTTAGCAATATTGTGGCTTGTTGTACTGCAACAGTCTAATCAAGTGTGCAGTTTATCAACCCTCTTGTAATGTAGCAATATTCTGGCTTGTTGTACTGTAACAGTCTAATCAAGTGTGCAGTTTATCAATCCTCTTGTAATGTAGCAATATTGTGGCTTGTTGTACTGCAACAGTCTAATCAAGTGTGCAGTTTATCAATCCTCTTTTAATGTAGCAATTTTGTGGCTTGTTGTAGTGTAACAGTCTAATCAAGTTTGCAGTTTATCAATCCTCTTGTAATGTAGCAATATTGTAGCTTGTTGTACTGTATCAGTCTAATCAAGTGTGCAGTTTATCAATCCTCTTGTAATGTAGCAATATTGTAGCTTGTTGTACTGTAACAGTCTAATCAAGTTTGCAGTTTATCAATCATCTTGCAATGTAGCAATATTGTGGCTTGTTGTACTGTAACAGTCTAATCAAGTGTGCAGTTTATCAATCATCTTGTAATGTAGCAATATTGTGGCTTGTTGTACTGTAACAGTCTAATCAAGAGTGCAGTTTATCAATCATCTTGTAATTTAGCAATATTGTGGCTTGTTGTACTGTAACAGTTTGCAGTTTATCAATCCTCTTATAATGTAGCAATATTGTGGTTTGTTGTACTGCAACAGTCTAATCAAGTTTGCAGTTTATCAACCCTCTTGTAATGTAGCAATATTCTGGCTTGTTGTACTGCAACAGTCTAATCAAGTGTGCAGTTTATCAATCCTCTTTTAATGTAGCAATTTTGTGGCTTGTTGTACTGCAACAGTCTAATCAAGTGTGCAGTTTATCAACCCTCTTGTAATGTAGCAATATTCTGGCTTGTTGTACTGCAACAGTCAAATCAAGTTTGCAGTTTATCAATCCTCTCGTAATGTAGTAATATTGTGGCTTGTTGTACTGCAACAGTCAAATCAGGTTTGCAGTTTATCAATCCCCTTGTAATGTAGCAACATTGTGGCTTGCTGTAATGCAACAGTCAAATCAAGTTTGCAGTTTATCAATCCTCTTGTAATGTAGTAATATTGTGGCGTGTTGTACTGCAACAGTCAAATCAAGTTTGCATTTTATCAATCCTCTTGCAATGTAGCAATATTGTGGCTTACTGTAGTGCAACAGTCTAATCAAGTGTGCAGTTTATCAATCCTCTTGTAATGTAGCAACATTGTGGCTTGTTGTACTGCAACTGTCTAATCAAGTGTGCAGTTTATCAATCCTCTTGTAATGTAGCAATATTGTGGCTTGTTGTACTGCAACAGTCTAATCAAGTGTGCAGTTTATCAATCCTCTTGTAATGTAGCAACATTGTGGCTTGTTGTACTGCAACAGTCTAATCAAGTGTGCAGTTTATCAATCCTCTTGCAATGTAGCAATATTGTGGCTTACTGTAGTGCAACAGTCTAATCAAGTGTGCAGTTTATCAATCCTCTTGTAATGTAGCAATATTGTGGCTTGTTGTACTGCAACAGTCTAATCAAGTGTGCAGTTTATCAATCCTCTTGTAATGTAGCAACATTGTGGCTTGTTGTACTGCAACAGTCTAATCAAGTGTGCAGTTTATCAATCCTCTTGTAATGTAGCAAAATTGTAGCTTGTTGTACTGTAACAGTCTAATTAAGTGTGCAGTTTATCAATCCTCTTGTAATGTAGCAATATTGTAGCTTGTTGTAGTGTAACAGTCTAATCAACTTTGAAGTTTATCAATCCTCTTGTAATGTAGCA